TGAAGACTCCTTTGGACCAAAAGCAGCTTCTGTGGGCCTGGTCTGTGTCTGTTGGCCACCGGGCCTCTCGCAGGAATGAACGCAACCTTCCAGCACCCCATGCTGCCCAGCCCACGGGACACAGGTGTTTTCTGTCCTCTGGGCTCCGGCTGGGCTGGTGTGGGTGGCGTGGGGTCACCCCGGGTCTCCTTGGAGTCCTGCATGCGTTTCCTCCTCGTCCCTCTGCACACGGCAGCCAGTGTGCCCCTTGTCAAACCTGATCCGATCCCTGTACCCCGAAGCCTTCCCTGTGACACCAGGGGAGACCCGGTCAGTAAGCCGGCCCCTCCCTGGCCTTCACCCCACTGCCCAACTGCCCGTTCCCCGGACTTCTCTTCGTGGTTAACTTTCCGCCCTTCTCTGCCTCCTGCAGAAGCCTCCCTGCGCCCCAGCCCTGCTCTGTCCCTCACAGCCCTCGCTCAGCCTGTGATTTGTGATTCTGGCTCCATTTACTGGGGGTATTCATTGCTTGCAGCCACCCCCATAAGTCACCACACACTCAGTGGCTTAAAAACGCAGAAATGTATTCTCGCACAGTTTGGAGGCCAGGGGTCTGAAATCGAGCCCCATTCCTCCTGGGGCTTCCAGGGGCAGGTCCTTCCGGTCTCTTCCGGCTCCTGATGGCCCCCGGCTTCCTTAGCTTGTGGCCACATCCTCCAATCTCTGCCTCCTTCTCATGTGGCTTCTCCCTGTGTGTCTGAGTCTCCAATTTCCCTCTGCCCTTCTCCTATCAAGACACTTGTCATTGGGCTTAGGGCCTAGACTGAGTCCAGGGCCCTGAGATCATTGCCCGGATTTCATCTGCAAAACCCTTTTTCCGAACAAAGTCGCGCTGTCCGGTTTCAGAGGTTGGGAGGTGGGCTTCTGCTTCTGGGGGGGGCCACCGCGCACCCCGCCACATTGGGCCACAGGTGCCGTGGGCCGGGGCCGGGGCCGCTCACCCCTGCACGCGGGACCACGCAGAGCGCCTGGACGAGGACGCTTGTTAGCTCTGGTCGATGAATGACTTTATCCGTTTGTTCAATAACAAGTGCTGGGCAGCTCCCGTGAGAGAATCAAAATATTTGTCGGACCAGAGGCAGCTTTCGAGGAAGCTCCGTGGCCGCCAGCAGAGATAACACGGCTCTGAGTCCAGGTGGGAAGAGATAAACGAGGCGGATGTGTGCGTGGGGGCTGGCGGGGAGCCCAGGCGCCCCCGAGAGGCTCGGGTGGGGGCAGGGAGGCATCCGGGGAGCCGGAGAAACACGTCGCCCTGGGCTGCTTTGTGGGGGGCCGGCAGGGTCCGGGTCGTGCAGACACTGGCTTCTGGATGTGTCCTGGGAGCTGCCCGAGGGAGGAGGCTGGGGTGAAGGGCCCCACGTGTCCAGCGAAGGAACACGTGGGAGTTCCCAGGATGTCATAGGAATTGTCAGCCCACATGACAGAGCCGGAATCTCAGCTACTTTCTCTGCAGGGAAAATTGACCTGGTGGCGAGGGGGGGAGGCAGTTCAGGGCAGGGCGACGGACAGCAATTCCAGGGCTGGGGGAGGGGCCCAACTCACTCTGGTTTTAAAACCGGGAGTCCTGCGTTCGGGAACCCCCTTGGTCGGGGGCGCAGCAGGAGGGTTGGTCCCCTAGGACTGGGCGGGTCGTCCCTGAGTCTGTGGGCTCTGCCGTGAGTCACTACCCCCTGCAGACTCAGGCACAGGCTTTCCTGCGTCTGGAGGCCTGGGGCTGAGATTTCCTCGCCAAGCCCCAGAATCTCCCTCCCCCTCCCTGTGACGGGAGCACGGCAGGTGCTTAGGCAGGTGGTGAAAGGAGAAGATGGAGGACACGTGGTCTCGCTGCCACCTGTGGGGACACACACCTCAGCAGGTCAGCCCGGGGCTCCACGCTGTCCTCGGCCATCTCCTGCCCGGGAGAGTGGGTGTGTGAAGAGGCATTGTCGGCCACACTGACCGCTCCCCACCCTTCTCCACTGCCTTTCCCTGCCCCAGCCTGGCTGGAGGCCTGCTGGGACACTGCCTCTGACTTGCTTTGACCCTTGCTTCCCTCCCAGCCTGGGCAGAGAAGGAGGGTGGGTCCCCAACCCGGGATGCAGTGTGGGAGAAGGGGGGCCTGGCCTGAGGCTCCTGGGAGGAGATGCCCCAAATGCAGGCCCAAAGGGTCCCCAGAACCAGGAAAGCTGCCCTCTCCCACCCTGTCGTTTGGTGATTTACTGCCTGTTCCCGGAGCTGGGCGGTGGGGATCGAGCTGCCAGTACCACCGAGCCCGGGGCCAGGGTCCTCACCACATGCAGCTGTGGGGCTCAGGCTTCTAGCCACTGGGAGCACTAGCAGTGTTTTGGGAGGAGGGGAAGGGACAGGAGCGGGGACGAGGGGCCCCAGCCCAGACCTCCTGAGCCAGAAAGCTATCGTTGGACATTTTTGCTATAAAGATGATGCCTGATGAGTAGCACCATAGCTAAATCTCTCACACATCTGGTTACTTCCCTAGAATAAATGCCTAGAAGAGGAATTTCTGATCAAGGATTATGCCAAGCTGTCCTCCAGGAAGACTGGGCTAGACTTCAAGGAGGGCTCATCCTGGGGACAGTGTGCATTTTGTTCTGGGGACATAGATGGGTGGGCTGCTGTGGGGGTGGCCTGAGCTGTCAGATGGCAACAGGAGGCCGTGGGTGATCTTAGGGTGGGAGGAAGCAGTGGGTGTGGGAGAATGTGAGGGTGCTGCTGGGACTCGGAGGGGGGCAGACACAGCCCCCACTGTGCCTGGGGTGGCACCGGCCCCGTGTCCATGGGCTGGCATACCCCGCGAGCCCACGCTTGGGCTGGCACTGGCAAACTCTGTTGGTTATAGATTACGCGAGCTGAATTACTCCCATCTGCAGAATTCACTGATCATCCTCTTGTTGGTGGGTGTTCGGGGCTTAAAAGACCTGGAGGAAGTGGGCCCTGGAGAGAGGTGAGGCCTGAGGAGAGCGGCCCCGGGGGTGCCGAGCGCCGTCTCAGCCACTGTGTGCTTTGGGAATGGCACCAGGCCCCTTAACCTCAGGCTCCTGAAAAACGGGAGGGTTCATGCCTCTTCCAGCGCCTGCTGGCATTGACCGTACCGTCCTCGCCTGGTGGGCGCTTAGGAGGAGGGGTGGGAGGCCATGAATGGAGTGGGGCCTCAGATCTTTCTCAAGAAGAGACAGGATTCCGAGGGCAACATCAAAGCCAGGCCTAGGCACAGAGTGACGCTCTGCTCTGGCCACTTAACCCCTAGATACAAAGGCACTGATGCCTGGGGACCGGGAAGGCAGCACTGCTGAAGGTGGTTGGGACAGGGCTGCACATTAGAATCACCTGAGCCTCAAAAATCGTGAAGGCCCAGGCCATACTTCAGACCATCTGCATCAGGACCTCTGGGGTGGGGGTAAGTGGGGCCAGCCTTCCTTTTTTTTTTTTTTTTAAATGATGGTAACATTTAGGGGTGCCTGGGGGGGCTCAGTCGGTTGAGCTTCCGACTTCGGCTCAGGTCATGATCTCACGGCTCGTGGGTTTGAGCCCCGCGTCGGGCTCTGTGCTGACAGCTCGGAGCCTGGAGCCTGCTTCCAATTCTGCGTCTCCCTCTCTCTCTCTGCCCCTAACACACTTCAATTCTGTTTCTGTCTCTCTCAAAAATAAATAAACATTAAAAAAAATTGTGGTAACTTATACATCATAGACTTTATGATTTTAAATGTTCCCCCCCCCCCCCCAAGTTTATCCTGTGAGGGAAAGAGAGAGCAAGCATGCACATGTGAGCGGGGGAGGGGCAGAGAGCTAGGGAGGAAGAGAGAATCCCAAGCAGTCTCTGCATTGTCAGCATGGAGCCCCCTATTCGGGGCTTGAACTTATGAACCGTGAGATCATGATCTGAGCCCAAATCAAGAGTCAGACGCTTAACCAACTGAGCCACCCAGGCACACGTATTTAACTTTTTTAAAGCGTATAGTTCAACAGTGTTATGTGCATTCACACTGTTGTGTGATTGATCCGTGGTCAATCTCCAGAACTTTATCATCTTCACAGACTCAAACTGTGCCCTTTAAACAAATCCCCATTCTCCCCGCCCCCAGCCGCTGGCTCCACTGTGCTGTTTTCCTTCTCTAAAGAATTTGACTCCTCCAGGGACCTCACACAAGTGGAATCATACAGCATTTGTCCTTTTGTGAATGGCTTATTTCACTTAGCATGAGGTCCTCAAGGTTCATCCATGTCGTAGAATGTCCTTCCTAACATACATATCATTCCATTGTATGACCAGACCACACTCTATCTATTCCAGCGCTGAGGGACACTTGGGTTGTTTCTGTGATTCCGGACCCAGTGGGCTGGGCACACCCCTGGTTCCCGGCGGTGCAGCACCAAGGGCGTCACCCCCAACCCTCTGCCAGGGGTGCTGTCTGCTGTTATCAAGTCCAAACAGCATTGCAGGAAGCCCTCTTCCCCCACCAAACACCCCCGCGGGCCTGCCAGGTCTGCGGCCAAGGGAATCCGAGCTCCAGAACCACGCTCAATACACACATTGACTGTACTGACAACGTTGCAAGAAGCGAGAGCGCAGAAGTTATTCCTTTGTTCACTAATTTATTCAATAAATGCTTTGTGTCAGGCAGTCAATAAATGCTACAATTTAATAGACGAGAGCCCCGCCCTCACAGAAAGCATTCTGGGGTGCCTTCTGCTAGTAGCACATTGATACATGCACCCCGTAGTGGCGCCCGGCCAACAGAACCGGCCGCGGGGAACCGAGCTGGAAGTCCGGCACCTTCGCATCCACGTTCTCCAGGGGCTGCTCCGGAGCGGGCCGCTGCTGCCCACGCAGGCCTTCTTTAACCCGCACTCCCGGGAGCGCGCCGTCAGCCCCGCACAAACCCGATTCCCACCAGCCTCCCGACCCGCCCGTGGTCTCGCAGACACCCGCGAGCACAAGGCCACGCCCCCTACCGGGGGCGGGGATGGGGCCGCCCAACCAGCGCTCGCGGGAGAGCGCTAGGCTCCGCCCCCAGGTGAGCTTGTTTTTCCAGACCGCTCCACTTTCGTGCAGAAACCGCCGCACCGCCGGGCCCAACGGCGCGCACCCCCGACAGGCCGCGCCCCCGGACAGCCAGCGCCCCGCTGCCGGCGCTCGTTGGGCCTCGCGTCGGGACGGGAGGCGTCGGGACCGGAGGCCGGAGCCCCACTCGGAAGCCCGCGAGGGAGGTGCGCGCTCGCCGGAAGCCGCGCCCCCGACGCGGCCCACCTGCCCGCGGCGCCGGAAGTGGCTGTGGCCGCTCTGCTTCCGGTCGGCGGGGCGCTCTCGGTTCGGGGCTGCTGACCGGGGGA